ACGGCTCTGACGCGCGGGCAGCCCCCGGGCAGATACGCACCCTCGGCGCTCAGGCTGGGCACCAGGGGCTCCTGCAGGTGCCTGGGATTGCCGAGGAGCTGCTGCGTGCTGCCTCGGGAAGGCGAGTCGGTGCCAGCGGGCAGAAAGCCTGGAGGACAAGGGAAAAATTCCCGGCTCAGGGACCGTGGGTCCGGCTGCAACAGAGCTGTTGGCACCACCTTTTCCCTTCTCCACACCCGAGCTCGCCTAGGATTGGAAAGGGCAGTCTCAGCACACTTGGCCAAGGGCGAAGACGCACTGTCCCCAAGAGGGACCTGCACTTGGGGTGCAACAACCCTGTCCTCCGGGCTCAGCAGGTTAAATGCACAGGAGAAAAATAAAAATAATAACAACTAAAAAAAAATCACAATCTGGGGGCAGGTTTAAGCAGCGGGAGGCCCGGGCAGCCGAGGCGCCCGGCCGGCCGAGGCGCCTCCGCAGCCCTCGGCCCAGCTGGACCCCGGCTCCCCGGGCGCTGACCTCCGTGTCGCTGCTGGGCCGGGGGCTCGCAGCCGGCGTGTCCCAGCGCAGCGTCCTCCTCCGGCCGGGCCGGCGGCACCGTCACTGTGGCTCCCGTCTGCTGAATGAACTGCTGCAGGTTACACTGCCGCAGCTCCTTGTTCAGCTCCTCCAGCTCCTGGTTCTGGGCCTGCAAAATATGGAGCAGGGAAGCGGGTCAGTGGTGCGGCCTGGGCAGTGCTCTTTGTCCTCCCCTCCAGACCCCAGGGCACCAGGAAACCTCAGAAGTTGGCCAGTGCCTCTAAGACATACCCTCCGGGAGAGCCTGGGACCTGGGCAGATGTTGCTGTTAGTCCTCAGTCACCCGTGGGCCCCGAAACACCACTAACGGGCCCTCCACGCTGGAAGGAGACCTCTTCTTGACCTGCCTTGCACTGAGGCCTTGGCGCTGCTAAGGAGGTACCAAAAGGTTGTGCAAGCAGAACCATTTTTGTCCTGGCCAACCCCAGCCAACTCCCTCTACAGATCCCATCATCCCCGCTGGGACCTGTCAATCAGCTGTACCTGCAGGTTCCTCTCTGCTTCCTCCAAGGCCTTCTCCACACTGGCCAGGTTGCTCTCCAGCTGGGTGCCCTGCTTGACCTTGGCCTCCAGATCCCTCTTCATTTTAGCAGCCATGTCCTCCAAATCTGCAGGGCTGGGCCCAGGGGTCTCCTTGCCCCTCTTGGCCCTCTCAGCCATCTCCCACTGGATCTCCTTCTGCAGGGCCTCCGTGCGGGCAGTCAGCTCATAAATCCTCTGCGTGTAGTCCTCCAAGCTGGCCCGCAGGCTCCTCACCCGCTCCTGCCTCTCACGCTCACACTCCTTCTCCAGCCGCAGCTCGCTCTGCCAAAACTCCTCCTCGCCCAGCTCTGTCTCGTTGCGCCGCACCAGCTGCTCCAGGAAGAAGATCTCGTCCTCCTGGCTGGGGACCCTGCTGTGCTCCCAGTGCCGCAGGTCCGTCTCCAGGGAGTCCCCGTGGACCTCCAAAGAGTGCAGCTGCTCCTGCTGGCGCAGCACAGTCTTGAACAGCTCCTCCTTGGAGGCCTGGCCGGCCCCGGCGCTCTCCTTGAAGTCCATCCCTTCCCACGTGTGTTGCCTCCATCGGCTCTTGGCGAACAGCTCGCCGGAGCCCATAGGGCCCAAGTTGAAGGTCATGGCTTTTCTCGGCTCCCGGGCGCGGGGCACATCGGTGCTCATGGGCCTGGGTTTGATGGGCAGGCTGGCCCGGATGAACGTCCGCTCGGGAGCCTGGGGAGCACCGTCCGAGGAGAGGCGACCGGCCACGCTGGGGGGCGGC